ACGACATCATCAACATCATCCACACCACATCCTCGAACTTTTTCTCAGCGAACAAAAAAAGCCCGGAGTAGCATTGCGGTTAGCGCCCCGCTTGTTTTGCATTAGGCCCGATGTTATTGGCTGCCTGAAACCGAGCACCTCTGCGTATTTTGAGTTCTTATTCGAGTATGCGTCCGCCTATGATAAAAGGGGTTCTTGCCCCTCTTGCTTTGTTCCGAAGGTCCCATGCAGCGGACAAAGGTTTGTTGTTCTGGCCGACAATTGTGAGCTGTTTGTTAAAATAAAATGCTTCGCCGTTGAACAGGATCTCATGATCTACGCACCCCAAGCTTCCCCATAGGTTAGAAACACGGACACGGCATAGCCTTAAAAGATGCATCATGAGCAAACATGAAACCACGTAGAGATCCACCAGAGTCACCTTCGACGATGTTGTCTTCCCCGCTTTACTCCCGTTGTAGCTGCACTGGGCCTGCCCCCCTTCTGCAATGATGGTAGGACCTCCTACCTGCTCTACGGTGCTACCCTAAGCAACCCCCACGAACCTAGACGGCGCCTTGTGCGCCAGCAGCTTGCTACGATGACCACGAAGGGCGAGCGCTGATGATGATACCCAGGACTTTTCCATCAATCTGGCCCACTCTTCTGGCGTGAAGACGCAGGTTTGTTTTGCAGCCGCGGCCTCCAAGTGCAACCTCCCACACTACTCACAGCTTTGTTCAACCGCCCGTGGGGCACCCATGAGCAGCCCATGGGCCGTCCATCAGCTGCCCCAGCCCATGAACTGCCTGTAAAGTTCCCACCGTGGGTACGTCAACCTTGAACTTCGCAACCGACGTACCAAACTAGGACTTCGCGACTGGCACATAACCTAGAACTTAGGCTAGAACTTAGGGTTACAGCGCCTACCTAGCACGTTAGCGTTAGGGTTTTATCCGTGATAACCCGTTCCAAAGCAGATAATCTACACTGGCTCTTGTTGAAGAGCACTCATTGACGGCCCATAGGCTGCCGATGGGCTACCCACGAGCTCTCCCATTGACTTCCCCGTGGGCATTCCCCATGGACAGCCCATGGGTGCCCCATGGGCGGTTTGGCAAAACTGCAGAACTTGTGGGAGACCCTCCAAGTGTGCCTTTTTGAGGGAGTTACCTCCAGCATACAACGTTCTTTCATAGCCTAGAAATGTCGAAAAAAATGGCACTTCTTCCTTTCAACCTTGACAGTTGGCCGAGCTTCTCCCATGTCTCAAGCCATAAAGACATCGTTCCCGTGCAGGCACACACCATGCACACTTCGCGAAAACGCGTTATCACGCGACAAGGGGTAAATGCCATTTGTGCGATTTCGCACCTACCCCCACACCAGAAATTCAGGATGTGCCCCCCCTCGCATGAGTACGCCCCACCCCACCCACCCCGAACAAACGATTGGTTCGCCGGAATGCCCAATCCAGCCATGACATATTGAAGTATATATATTGTTTTGACACAGCAAACGCGAGGATGATGACCAGCTTCTGGTTCATCCTTGTGAAACGTACCGTGCGCCGGCGAATGCTTTACGCGTTATAGAGATGCGAGGTCAACGGTCTGGCGATTACGGCATGCGTTTTCATGACTAATCCTTCCCCCCGCTGCCTCGATCTGAAGCTACTAGTGGAGTCGCCGGTCACCCCCCTCTTTCGTGCGTTCTTGACTTGCAGTCCCCGCGTTCTGAGGCTCCGTTCTTGAGTGTATGCACATTGGTACACCACAAAAAAGTGGGTTCTTGTTCAAAATACTGCATCAGAACTGAGCACATGTTCTTATTGGCCAAATTCTTCGAGTTTGAATTTTCCGAGGCTTCGTTCTTACCTTGCAAGTTATTTATTGCGCGCGCTAACAGTCCGTCTCTACGCGCGTGAACGAAGAGCCCCGAAACGCTCGACGGAAACTGCGGAACATGTGTCATGTAGGAGAAACTCGCAAGACTCCTACCGTTCGCCTACCGTTTCGCCCACAATTGCCCGACATTCAATCTCGCAAAAAAAACTTCGCCGACAGAACGACGTTTTGGGGTGCGCTTACGCTTCCTCGAGCTTACGTTAGGCTCCTCTCCTCCTCCCCCCCCCCCCCCCACC